GGACTGTGACATTTTATCTTGTTGTCATATTCTCCTTCGTATATTCCAGTTTCTTAGATGGTTTGTTCAATTGAAAGATTGATTGGGTTTGGTGAGAAGGTACATCCCTGATAGACACTTTTCCTGATTTTAAATCATGCAATTTCTTTAAAAAAAAAAAACAACACACAAAACCAAAAACAACAACAACCAAAACAAGCACCTGTCTGTTGGATCTAGTTTAAAATTTCACACAAAACAAAGGTCCTAAATTTCTGTCCTTTGCAAAGTTATTCACAATTTGTATATAGTTCAATGCCTTAAGCATATTTCTAGGATACTCAACTTTTAACCAAGATCCTTTAACATTGATATTCCTATTACTACATCTTCTTCTAAATCGTACTTAAATATTTTACAGTTCTCTGTTACAGTACTTCTGCAGTCACATTTCAAATGGCATTTAACAAAATTTTACTTGCATTCTATGTTAGTTTACATAATTTGGGTAATTTTTGCCTTCTACTGTATCTGTTTTTTTTGGAATGGAGATTATCTATTTATTTATCTATTTACCTATCTCTTATCTATCACTCATCTATTATCTATCATCTATCTGTCATCTATCTGTATCTATCTATCATCTATCATCTATCTATCTATCATTTATCTCATAGGTGTGTTTTATCAATTCTTCCAAATTGTATGGCATAGTTGAGTAAAAAATTCTATATTCGTTTGCTCAAATAACTCAAATGGTATCTCCCGGAGGCTTTGGTAAATTTTTTTTTAACCAATTCCTTCAGTAAGACTTGAATGCCTTCCTTCAGCAACTTCAGTTCTTGATCATATACCAGCTTGCTCCTTTAAAATGTGTGTGATGATTTATGTATTCCTTTCATCTTCTTTTGATTCTTCTTACATTATTCAATAATTTAACCGTAGATTCCTTCCATATTGTACCTCAAGGCTTGAATCATTGTTTAGTTTGTTTTTTTTTTTAATTTTATTCTTTCAGCTTGAGAAATGCTGAGAACATTTTTATTCTCTGATTTTCTAATTACAGGTCTTTGCATATTTTAATATGTGTGCTCTTGATCCATGTTTTTAAATATATTGGTGGTTTTAGTTAACCATTCGATTGCATGCATTTTGACTAGATTTTAATAAGTCTGATTGCTAAACTATGCAGTATTCAGATTTATCAGTATTTTCACCAATTTGAGGGTAGAATAGAGAGTACTGTAATTGCTTGGAGATTGTTTTTTTGTTCTAATGTACCCTGTTCTGTGGGGCATTTCTGCAATCATATCATGTCTTGAGAATGTTCAAACCATTCAGTCATGAGTTTTATCAGAGTAGACAAGCATGAAATGAATTTTCTATCATGGTTTATGAATGCCAGGAGAGTCATAGATCAGTAACATTGGGAGGTATTGGTGCTTGATGTTTAATCTCTCCTTTTCATTTAAGTAGCCAAATCCCTTCAAGCATTATTTTTAAATCTCAAGGACAGTTTCTGTCCTAAGTTTAGAGTAATTTAGTTATTCTTAATTAAGCTCCTTATATATTAACATTTACATAAATATTGTGATTGTATTTACCTATTATGTAATTTATATTTATCTTAATTTTTTTAATTCATCCAAATATTGAAAACTTTTTCACTGTTTATTGTCTATGTATTTTTTCAGGTAATTTCAGGTAGTTGATAATCATGTTGGATTACTAATTTGGAAATATGGAGACAAAACACTGCATTAAAGATAAGTAAAGTAAGCAGACAGATATCTATAAGCATTTTCATTATTTTAAACATGCATAAATATGTTTGAAGAATTCATAATTGGATTATATCTTTTAGTACTTAAGGCTGAGAAATTGCATATCTTATAAAGTTATATAACCATTTTTTTTAAAGTCATATAACTCTTAAACACAGACGAAATAGATCTAAATTACATTTTTGTTAAGAAAAGTACTTGGAAAATAAATTTTATCTTTACTATTTTGTTTATTTTTCAAGTGAAGTTTGTACCATTTTAGACTTTGAATATGAAGAATCGTTTATTTTAAGATATGTTGTTAGTTGAGTCAAGTAAGATTCATAGCAATCCTATAAACAGATCTGACGCACGTCCTATCCTGTGCCATCCTATCATTTCTAACACACTTAAGCCGTGATTGCAGTCACTGTGTCACTTCATCTTGTTGAGCTTCTTCCTTTCACTGGATCTCTACCTTTCCAACTATTATGTCCTTTTCCAAGAAATAGTCTCTCCTAGTAACATTCTCAAAGTATATGAAATTACTTTTGTCCATCCTTGCTTCTAAAAAACATTCTGGCAGCATTTTCCCCAAGACGTATCTGATTGTTCTTTTGGTAGTCCATGGACTATTCAGTACTCTTTTACAACACAACTCAAAGGCATCAATAATTTTCTCAACCTTATTCATTATTAAGCTTTCAGAAGTATAGAAAGTGATTGGGGAAAAAAAGGGACTAAATTTAATGCTCTTTGGTCTTCAAACAGAAATCATTGTCCCTCAGTAATTTGCAGAGGTCCATGATAGCTGACTTTCCCAATGCAGTATGTCTTGATCTCCTAACTGCTGGTTGCTGATTGTGAATATAATTAAGATAAAATCATTGACAATTTCCTTTTTTGTAAATATTTCTTATTGTGATTTTAATGAAAGTTTACAGAAAACTTGGATTTTCATTCACTCATTGTTTTACATTTTCCTCCCTACTCCTCACCCCACCCCCTCAATTTCAATTATAATGCTGCCTGTTGGCCCAGTGGTGAGGCTTTTGCTGTTCTTGAGATTGAGATGCAATCCATGTTAAAGGCTGTAGTCTTTTATCTTCTAAAGCAAGTATTTCAAGTCCTCTTTCAGCAAGTAAATTTATTTCATCTACAAAGCACAGGTTGTTGATGAGTCTTCCTCCTGTCCTGATGCTTCATTCTTTTTCATAGGCTCCAGCTTCTAAAATGGTTTTTTTAGTGTACAGATTGAATAGGTATAAAGAAAGGACACATTTTTTTTTCTGATATTAAATCATGCATTCCTCCTTTGCTCTATTTGGATAATAACTTTCTGGTCTAGGTACAGATTTGTATGAACATAATTGAGTGTGTATAGTAAACCCCTAAACTAAAGCCACATACAACTAAATCAATCCTGACTTTTTGGACAGATTTCTGAGGTTGTAATGTTAATGAGATGAGACTACCTGGAAAGGTCAAATTGCTAATTTATTGCTTAGCACTACACTACCAGGTGCCTTTGAGAAGGGCATACAGGTCACGATATTTAATTACATAACCTTAATTAACAATTCTATTTTCATCTCCATTTGTCTAGTAGAATTATATAAAACAACAATAATAATACGTAAAATTTAAAAATGTAATGGTTCGTTGCTTTGCTTTATGTTGAAATATAAAATAAGTAGTTTTGTCACTGTGAAACACATGTGTGTGTGCGAGCGCATGTGCACACACACACACACACACACACACACGCACACAAACACACTTCTCCAATTTGGTGGCTCAAGGCTCATGTGTGAAGTGGTTGGATTCTCTCTTGTTTTGGTATAGATCAGGTGTGAATTGTTTGGTTGGGGATTTTTTTTTTGTTTATTGTTGTTGTTCACAATCAGGTGTGAAATGATTGGATTTAATGGATTTAGGTAACAGTGAGCTGTAGGCTGGAAGTCTTTTGGTTAAAATCAACCAGGAACTGGTGGGTGGGCCTTGTATTTAAAAGGTGGTTGGGCCCTCTGCCTGTGGCTCTGAGGCCTGGTTTTCATTGTGTTTGTGATGAACATTCTTCTATGTGGTACAGCACTGGCCTGTTAATTTATTATACTGAAAAAACTTGGGGTTGCTGTGATGCTGAATGCTGTGCCACTGGAGCGTCAAATGCCATAATGGTTAGCCATTGTGGACAGAGTTTGGTGGATCTCTTAGACTGAGTCAGGATTGGAAGCTGGAATGACATCCATGTCCTAAAGAACATGTCTCTGGAAACTCTAGGAACATCAGAGAAATGACGATAGTTATAGAACAGGGTTCAGGTCTTTTGTTCATAGATTGCTATGAGTCATGCTTTATTCAATGGCACTTAGCAACAACAATATATATGTCCTTGGAGAAGGACATCATGCTCAGAAAGGTAAATGGACAGCGCAGGAGAGGGAGATCCCGGTTGAGAAGTATTGATACAGTAAATGGGGTAGTGGCAGTTGATGTGTCAGAGTTAGTAAGACTGGCTCAGGAAAGGGAAGGTTTCAGAGTTCTATACATAGGATCACTATAAATTGCAGGTGACTCAATGGCACATAACAACAATAACATACTATGACAGGTTTGGAAGCAGGAGTGGCATCCACTTCCTAAATAACATGCCTCTGGAAACTTTATGAACTTTGATAAATGTCAATAATGTCAATAGTTGTAGAGAGGCTTCAGGCCTTTTGTTCATAGGGTTCCTATGAATTGTGCTTGACTTGAAGAAAAAAAAATTATATATATATATATATTGTTTGGTAATTATATATATTGTTGTTGTTGTTGTTAGGTGCCATTGAGTCACCTCATAGAGACTCTATGAACAAAAGACCTGAACCCTTCCTTGTATAACTTTCATAGTTTCTCCACATTAATAGAGTCTCCGGAGGCAAACTATTTCAGAAGTCCATGCCACTCCTTCTTCCAAGATTGTTTTAATTGGGAAGCTCCACCAAACACTGTCCACCATGGCAACAATTATCACATTTGACACATCAGTTTTATAGTGTTCAGCATAACAGGAAACATGAGCTATCTCTGTACAACAAATGGACAAACCAGTGCTGTACCACTTAGATGAATGTTTGACCAAAAGCAATTAAAATCAGGTGTGAGGG